GTCTATCCCACAGACCATCCACACACACGATCTTCCTAAAATACAGACTTGTCACGTCACTTCCTCGTTCAGAAACCTCCGTTGCTCAGACTGGCATTCAGGGCTCCACGTCTGTCCCTCCCCTAACCTTGCAATCTTATCTCCCACTGCTCCCCAGCATGTATGCATTCCAACCAGACTGGTCTGCTCACTGTTCCCTCCTGTAACCACCCAGAAGAGAGGTCTAGGTTCTGATTCTTCCTACCTGTGTGGCCTGTGTCACCAAGTCACCTAACCGACATGGCTTCAGTTTTCCCCTATGTCAAAGGAGAGACTGGACTAAATCATCTCTCTGAGGTTCTTTCCAGCTGTGAATACTGTGACATCCCTTTTCTGCTCCAAAGCCAGCTCCGAACTTCTGTGTTTGAAAGGCCCCTTCTGCTCAGACATTCTAGGTTCTAAGGGCCCTCCCACTCTGACATTCTGGGTTCTATGGCCCCTCTCAGTTCTGACATTCTGGGTTCTAAGGTCCCTTCCAGCCCAGACATTCTTTATTCTGACATTCTGGGTTCTAAGGACCCTCCCAGCTCTGACATTCTGGGTTCTAAGGGCCCTCCCAGCTCTGACATTCTGAGTTCTAAGGTCCCTCCCAGCCCAGACATTCTTTATTCTGACATTCTGGGTTCTAAGGGCCCTCCCAGCTCTGACATTCTGGGTTCTAAGGGCCCTTCCAGCTCTGACATTCTGGGTTCTAAGGGCCCTCCCAGCTCTGACATTCTGAGTTCTAAGGTCCCTCCCAGCCCAGACATTCTTTATTCTGACATTCTGGGTTCTAAGGGCCCTTCCAGTTCTAACATTCTGTGTTCTAAAATGCTTTCCAGATTTTATGATTCTGATTCTTATCCAGGTTCTATGATTTTGTGATGTTAATAAATCCATTTTTTCTAGTTAATATTTTTCACTGAATTAGACTGAATGGCCCTTGCCTCCCCCAATAGGGCTAATTACCAATGACCTTTTTTTTCCCCTTGATTTTCAGCTTCTTAGGGCTACTTCTCGGAAGTGATAATGAAGGTGTTGTTACTGTAGGTTGTTGACTGCTGTGGAAACCTAGCCCTAAGCAGACCTTCGTTGGGGTAGGCGATCAGTGACACACCATTATCCCCCACAAGGCCAGGCTTCCTCCACACCCTCTGAGCTAATTTCTGCTCTGGCGGCAGGAAGGGGCCTACCCAGCCTGGGTGCTAATCAGCCATACCAGAGATTGGCCAGAGGAGCCGAAGAGCAAATCCAGGGATAACACAGGACAAGTGCATATGTTGCTGGGAAATACCATTGTAATTGCCTCTACCTTTTGCTTGGCCTTGACACCAGGCCTCGTGAGCAAGCTTAGCAAGTTCAACAAGTCTCTTTTGAGTGTTAGCTAGGTGCTGGGCTCTAGCTGAGGGGGAAACAGAGGCATAAGACATACTCCTTGCCTTCCCAGTACATATAGTCTAGTTGGGGGGTAGGAGGGACACATATGAAACAATTAAGTAGAAATATTAGTAGCTCACATGTTTACGTAACTATATTTAAATAAAATAAATAAATATAAATATTTATATATAAATATAGAGTTTTAAGGTTTGCAAAGTGATTTTGATACATTATCTAACTGAGGATCAAACGAGATAATATGTAAATTGCTTCCAAACTTTAAAGTGCTATACATAAATGCTAAATGTTTTTAATATTATTATTATTAAATCTTCTTTATAGTCCTGTGAGGGAGATGCAATTATCCCCATTTTACAGATGGGAAAACAAGTTGAGTGCAGATAAATAACTTGCCTAAGGTCACTTCACTATAAGAAAGTGTCTAAGACTAGATTGAAATCCAGGTCTTCCTGATTCCAAGTTGAGTGTTCTAACCACTGTATCACCTGGCCTCTCCAAAGTAAACACAAGGATAGTAACAATCCATGGGAATATGTAGACTTCTTCAGTTAAAGCTGGAAGGGATTTTGGAAGCCATCATGTCCAACTCACTGGTTTTAGGGATAGGGAAACTGAGGCTGAGAGAATTAATGTGATTTGCCCAGGGCCACAAATAGCTAGAAACTGCGAGGACTTGAGTTCAAGTCTTTCTGACTCCCTATCCAGCTCAGTCCATGATACCACCTCTCAGCAGCCCCCTGACTGAGGCAGTGATAATTGTCCCCTCTTTACGTACAAGGAAAATGAAGTTTACACAGAAGTAACTCAAAAAGGAAGGGGACAAGCACTTATTAATCACCTACTATGTGCCAAGCACTTTACCTCATTTAATCCTCACAGCAATCCTGTGATGTACATGCTTGTATTATTATATTCTAATAATTTATTATTTTATTATTATCCTAATTTGTTTTACAATTGAGAAACTGAGGCAGACAGAAGTTAAGTGACTTGCCCAGGGTCACACAGCTAGTAATTATCTGGGGCTCGATTTGAACTGAGGTCTTCCTGACTGTTGGTATAGTGTTCTATCCATTTTGCCACCTAGGGTATCACCTAAAAAAATGTTCCCCGTTCCTCATCCAACACTCCTCCCACTATCCCAGACTATTTGTTACCTTCAACTCTTAGTCCTGGAAGAGACCTTCAAGTCAGTCCAGTCTAGTGGATCTCATTTTATGGTTCTCAAATCCTTTGGGGATTCAAAATGATGGTCCATGGGGGCAGCACTAAAAATTCTTTAATGGTGCCTTAAGCAGTAAATAATTGCACAATATTATGAGTAGTATATTAAATTACCCTAGGGGTTCACAATACATGTTTTTTGGTTGTTGAAAGAGGTTTAAGAAAAAAAAATAGTTGGGACTCACTGATCCACCCTTTATTTTCCAAATGAAGAAACTGAGACCCAGAGACCTCAAGGGGATTACCCAACATCACACAGCAAGTTTAGAGCAGAACAAGGACTGGAATACTGTCTCCTGGACTCCAACTTAAGTGCTTTTTTCCACTGCACTGAAAGCAAAGGAAGGACGTAATTAGGTCACCAGAGGAATGATTCAGAGAAGGGAGAGAGCGATGTAGGGCAGAACAATCAGAGAAGGTTTTATTGGAGGGCCAAAGGATAATTGTCATCCCGTTATGGTATTTCTTAATTTCTCTCACCCAGCTCCATACTGGAAGCAGCACCTTGGGTCTTTCTCAAAAAGCTTCTCTCCCTCCCCATCCATGACCTCACTACCTTATGAAGGAGTATGATTTCAATTTGACAGAGAGAGAAATAGGCTCAGAGGAGGGGAGTCATATGGCCAAGGTCACACAGTGAGGTGGAACCTCATTCAGACCCTATGGTTTCCTCTTCCTCTCATTAGCCAGATAGCCACAGTCCTCTTAGGTCCCTTATCCCCCCTCTACTATGCAACTCTGGGCCTTTCCCAGAGCAGAGAATGCCCCTTAGAACACAGAATGTCAGAGCTGGAAGAGGCCACGGAACAGAGAATATCAGAGCAGAGAACGCTCCTTAGAACAAACAATAAATGTCAGACCTAGAAGGGGCCATTTGGAAACCTTAGGGCTTACCAATGGTTAATCAATATGCATTTACTAAGCACCTCTGTCTAGCCAGGCACTACTAGCCTACCCCCTAATTTACAGATGAGGAAACCAAGGCCAGAGCTCTGATCTCCGGACTTCCCCCTCAGGGCCCTTTGAGCCTGTCACCTGGGTCGCTGGGCTGTTGAATCACAGGATCACAGAATGAGAGCTGGAAAATCTCTGAAACTATCTAGTAGAAGGATTCCTAATTTGTAGTCTATGAATTTCTTCGGGAATAAATTGGGGGAGGGGGGTCTCTTGAGTTTATTTTTTAAAAAATATTTTGATAGCTGTGTTTTCAGTATTAATGATTTCTTTTGTAATCTCCGTATTTTATTATCTAGATTTGAAAACCGTATTCCGAGAAGGGATCTATAGGTTTCTGACCAGACCAGGTCCATGACACAAAAAAGGGTTGGAGCCCCTGTTACAGTCCAACTCCCTCATTTCACAAAGAGGGCAAATGAAGCCCTGGGAAGGGAAATGACTTGTCCGAAGTCCCACAGGGAATTAGTGAGGAAGCTGGGATTTGAACCGAGGCCCTCTGAATTGAAACTGAGTGTCCCCTTCCCCTACAGCGTGAGAAAACGGGGAAAGTCGGGCTGCAGACCCTAGAAAAGGAGTGAGGGCTGAGTCAGCGCGGTCCCTGCTTGGATGCAAGTGCCCCGTACCCAGAGCACCCAGAAGCGTAGGCAGCTCGCCCCTTGCTCCCCCTGGCCGAGGCGGGGACTGGCTCCGGGACTCGCAGGGCCCAGAGTCGTGTGCTGGAGTAGCTGTGTCACAGCCCCCTGGGGCCTCGGGCTAGGTCCTCGCTGTCTCGGCTGTCTCGGGCTGGCCTGGGGAGCAGGAAGGGGAAGCAGCAGCGAAGGGCGCCGCGGACCGTCCGGGTCTGGCTCCGAGGCCCGGGCCGCGCTGACCCCCGGGCCCAGAGGGAGGCCGGGCGCAGAGGGAGCAGGGAGCGTGCCCAGCCCCGGGCCGGCCCGCCCCCCGGGGGGTGTCCCGGGCCGCTGGGCCCGCCCAGGTAACCCCATCCTCGGCCCGCCTCCGGCCCGCCCCCCCGCCCGCCTCTCCGCTCCCTCCTGCGCCGCATCTCGGGACTCTGGGGCTGCGCTGACAGTCGGCTCGGCGCGGAGCCGGGCAGCGGGCGCAGCAGCCTCCGGGCAGCCCGCAGCGCAGCGCAGCGGCGCAGAGACCAGGGAGCGCCCCGCCGGCCCCCGTCCGCCTGCTCGCCGGCCCCGGCCCGGCCCGGCCGGCTCCGCCCCGCCCGCCGCGCCGCCCCCTGCCCTGCCCTGCCCTGCCCTGCCCTCCTCTCCCCGCCCGGCGCGGGCCCCGGCCCGGCCCCGGCTCTGGCTCCCGGACTCGGACTCGGAGCCCGCGGGCTGCCCACCTGCAGCCCCGACGGGAGGGTCCCAGCGCGGCAGCTGCCCGGGCCGGGGGCCGGCGGCACGATGAGTCCGCGCTCCTGCCTGCGCTCCCTGCGCCTGCTGGTCTTCGCCGTCTTCTCGGCCGCCGCCAGCAACTGGCTGTAAGTGGGGCTGGGGGAGAGCAGGGCTCGGGAGGGCAGAGCAGGGCAGGGCGGGCAGGGCAGGGCAGGGGCCGGCGGGCGCGGGGTGGTGCCAGGCGGCTAAGGGCACTGGGCACGGGGGGCTAGGGACCTGAGGGGCTAGGGACCTGGGCTGCCCGCACCGCGCCGAGCAGGTGTTCTTCAGACTCCCTCCCGCTTGCCCCCCGGCATGGAATAAAAGCCCCCAGCGGGCACCCCAGTCCTTCGGGGCCGCTGTCGGCCTGGGCAGCCCCAAGCCAGTGAGGAGACGGAGCCAGAGCTGGAGCCGGGGGAGCGCGGGTAGTGTGAGTGGGAGATGGCAGCTGGGGCTGGGAGAAGGGGTTCCTGTCCCGGGCAGATGGGCGCAGCTCTACTGACTGCCCCCGCCTCCTATTCCCCGGGCGCTCCTGCCTCCCTCGCCCCGGGTCCCCTGCCCTTCCTCTCTCCGGCTAGGGCTCCGCTGGCTCGGCTCTGACAGGTCTGCTGTGAAAGTCAATTACTGAGAAAGGCTCGGGGATTTAATAGCAGGTTAATCCCGAGAACAGTGCCCCGGAGCTGCCTGTGCTCGGGTTGAGGTGCCGCCGCCGGCAGCCCGCGGGAGAGCTGGCGTGTAGGGACCTGTTTGTGCCCGGAGGGGCCGGGGGGGGGGGGGCGCGGTGAGGGGGGCCGGGCCGGGGCCGGTGTGGTTTCTTAATGGCGGGTGAGATGTTGCTGACCTGGGTTTGGTCCTGAATCCCTTTCCCCAAGGAAGAACACGGCCTGGGCTGAATGAAAGAAGAATCTCTCCTCCCAATACCCGCCCCCCCTACCCCCGCCCCAGCTCCCAAGCTAGTAACTGGGACAGTGGCCTTCAGGGGTCCCTGAGCGAACTTAGCTCTCCCTACCCCGGCTCTATGTGTAGGGGTGCTATGATCCCCGGAGGGTCACCGAAGCCTGGAATGGGAGGGGGTGTTGGAGCCGGTCTGGGGAAAGAGGCCAGTGCAAAGAGAGGGAGGGGGGAGTCCTTCCTCTTCTCCTTCCACCCTGGCATCTGCCCCCCTCCCATTTCCCCCAGATGCAGCAGCACCTGCGAGCATAATCCCGTCCTGTTTTATTTCGCTGCCCAGGGAGCCTAGACCCCAATATTGATCCGAGGACTAAAGGGGGGATATAACCAACAGTGTAGCCTGGGGTTTCCATGGAGACCGAGGAGAGAGGAAAAAAATTTTCTCTCTGCATGAAGACTGGAGAACAAACGTCTCCCATGAGTTTGCCTTAAGTGTCCACTGGCTGTTGCTATGAGGTCATTGTGGCCTGCCGGGCCTGCTGGGAAGGAGCTGTGTTCAGTTGGGGTCAGAGCCACCGGGGAGTTTGGGGACTGAGGTGATGTGGAACTTTCCCAGCTGCTCAGGAGACCCACTTGGGGCAGAGCCTGGGGGAGGCTGCAAGTGGCTGGTAGACAGTTTTGTTTTTCTTGGATTCCTAATTTGATTAACACTTCGGGAGCTGCCCTGTGCTGCTTACACAAACCCAGGCCAGCGCCATACACCGCCCCCCCCCCCAGCTGGGTGGGAACTGGATAGCAAACCTCTGAAGTTGGAGGAGGAGACCCCCAGGATTGAGCCTTGGGTGGGGACTGCCGGGGACAGTGCCTGAAGAGCCCTAGGCCTGTCACCGTGTAAGCAAAGTTCTGGCCTCCCCGGTAGAGAATTGGGGTCCCAAGGGTCAGTAGCCTAAGCTCTGTCTGAGTCAGGGCTGTTTGTTTGTCTTGGGCATCTCGTCAGGGAGCCAAGCGCTACATGCAGCCCCGCCAGCTGGGGTGGGGGCTCTCCTACCACCCTGATAGTGGAGAGTGAAGTACATGGAAGCAACATTAGCTGGCATTTCTACAAGGCTTTACAGTTCAGGAGGCACTTACCCGACAACAAGCAGATGATATGAGCTCCAAGGTCCTTTCCAGTTTTCAATCCTGGGATCCCTCTGACCCCGGTGGGGAGACACTATAAATCCTTACCTATTTTACAAATGAGGAAACTAAGGCTTAGAGGAAGGAAAGTGATTTATCCCAGGTGACAGAGTCAAGTGACCGTCAGGAACCGACCCAAAGTTTTTCTGAAGTGGAGGCAGGGTTCTTGCCGCTGCCACTGAATATTGATTTCAGTTCTGGCTGGGAATGGTGATCCTTTGGGGATACTGAGGGAACTACAGTACCACACATACACACATATCCCAAACATACACCAGGCCCCCCCACCCCCAAGCAGGAGAAGCCCCTTCCCACTTCCCAGTCATGTCAAACCTGCTCAGTGAGTGCCCATGCAGTCCAGGGGGAACTTCAGCAGTCCAATTTTTATATTATGGGAGCAGGGAGCAGACAAAGAGGCAGAGGTTGGCAAAGCTGTTCTCTGGGGCCAACAGGTGGGTCGGGGTGTGGGGCAGCAGATGCTGGGGACAGCCTCACCGGCGCCCCTTCAACCACCAAAGGCCAAAGGAAGGTTTCTGAGGCTACACTGCCCTGAGCATTGGCATCTCAGCTCCTGGCCAGGTTCCAAGATGAGGTCAATCAACAGGCATTCCACATGTTTCAGAGAATCCAGGGGGACTAGATCCTCCAAGTTGGAAAGGACCTCAAAGGGCATCTAGTCCAATCCCAAACAGATAAATGCTTATTAAACTGAATTACTGATCATCTCCCATGTGTCCAGAGCTAGGCTAAAAAAAACACAGCACAGCCCCACCCCCCAGTAGGAAACAGAAAGAAAAAAATAGCAATAACAGTTCACATTTCTATAACATCCAAGTTCACAAAGCACTTTTATAAACAGAATGTCCCAAATTCAGTTTTAAGGTATTAGAGCTTTTGACTGCACTAAGACTTTGGGGACACCTTGTATATTATCCCATTTCAACTTCCAAAAAGTTGCTGGGGTAGGTACTATGGGTATTATTAGCCCCTCTTTTATAGTGACCATTAAGCAGTTTGCCCAGCATGGTACACTGAAAAAAAGTACATGACTGAGGAGGTAGAGAATCTGGGTTCAAATCCCCCGTCTGATACTGACTACCTGTGTAACCTTGGGTAAGTCACTTGACCTCTTCTGGCCTTAGTTTCCTCATCAATCAATAAGCATTTATTTAAGAACCAGCTAGGTGCCAGGTGCTGGAGATGCAAAAATAAAACAATCCTTGCTGTACAAGAGCTGAGGCTAATGTTGAAAACAAGGGGGTTGTGCTAGCCGGCCGGGCTCTGAGGTCCCTTCCAATGTAGACCTCCGTGGTCACAGGGCTACCAAGCGTTGAAGCCAGGCGCCGGAGCTCCCAACTCCGAGTTCCCTAATTTATCCTCTCGGTGATGCTGCCCCTTGTCTCGTGCATTGGACAGCTCTCTGCTTGAGAGGCCTGACCACCTTAAGAAGCTTGTCATCTACTTGGAAGGCAAGACTGACCTATGAAATAGCTATCGGATGATAAGGCAATGCAGCACGTTAGAAAGGAGGCTAGATTTGTCATCGGGGACCTGGGTTCAAATTCAGGTTCTGTTACTTAATGTCTATGTCAGGCAGTCCATTGATAAATATTTGTTAAGCACCTACTATGTGCCAGGCTAAGTGCTGGGGATACAAAGAGAGGCAAAAGTCAGTCCTTGCCCTCAAGGAGCTCACAGAAAGCTGGGGGAGACAAAGTGGGAACAACTATGTGGGAACAAGATAAATTGAACATAACCTCCGAGGATAGGTACTAGCATTAAGGTATCCCCATACTAAGAAGCTGGGAGGCAGAATCGTGTGAGGAGGGGGTTACGGGCATGGGGGACAGCCAGTGAAAATCTCCTTGGAAGAACAGGGCTCATCCTGACTATGGATACACAGGGAGTGTGCGGGTTCCACTTTCTAGACATGGTGACCTGCTTTGGTCTAGCTCGAGCCACAGAGATGGGATCTCAGCGCCCTTCTGAAAGCTCGAGCCATCGGCGAGGGGACTGCACCAGTCCTTGAGGGAATGAGGGTCTCCTCCCGGCTTGGCCATTCGCTAGCTATTGGACCTCTGACAAATGGTTTGCCGTGGCTAATGACCATGCACCTGGACTGTTCTGAGGATCAACTAAGCCAGTGGCTGCAAAGTTCTTTGAAAAACTGAAACCACTATACAACTAGGGAGTGGGGGGAAGAGAGCGGGAATGAGGAGGGAAGGAATTATTGTGTTCCTGAGAAAGAGGAAAGGAACAGCTGAGTGGAAAGGAGGGAGGCACAGTGGAGTCAGGAAGACCTGAGTTCATATCTAGCCTCAGATTCCTACCAGCAATATGACCCTGGGCAAGTCGCTTAACCATTGTCCGCCTCAGTTTCCTCAGCTGTAAAATGGGGATAATAATAGCACACCTCCCTACTTTCCAGGCTTGTTATAAGAATCGAATGAGATGACATTCGTAAAGCACTAAGCATAGTGCCTGGCACATCGGTAGCCCCTTAACAGATGCTAATTCCCTTCCTTTCCCATGGATAGACCTTCAGGATGACCTTTAGGGGCACTTACTCAAAGCATTTTTCAAACAGGCTTCATCCTTCCTAAAGGGGGAGCACAAAGAGCCCTAGAATTGGATTCCAGAAGCCCTGGGTTCACAGGATCCTTGATCTAGAACTGGAAGAGAACTAGTCCAACTACTTTATTTTACAGATGAAGAAACTGAGGCTTATAAAGGTGACCTGCCCAAGGTCACACAGGCAGAAAGTAGCAGAGTAGATTTGAAATCAGATCCCCCAACCACCCAGTCCAGTTTTCTTTCCACTGTTGCCTTGAGTTTCAACCCTACCACTTAATAGCTGTGTGGCCTCAGGCAAATGAATTCACCTCTCTGAGTCTCACTTTTAGGCTTAAAAGGAACTGGAGAAGGAAACAGCAAACTGCTCCAGTATCTTTGTCAAGAAAATCCTCAAAGGGAGTGACACAACTAAAAAATGACTGAGCAACAATAAAATACCCAGTGGGAAGAGGGATTGGGAGAA